ATCAGATGTATACCTCGTAGTTCTGAATAAAGTCCCTGCAAAATATGGGGGTTATAAAGATAATGCAAATGTTTACCTTCTTGAAGGTTAGCCAAATTTAAGATCTTACTGGAGACCGGTCATCGCTTCACCATCGAGGCATTCCACATTCCACTTGCGGTGTGGCTAGAACCAACCCGAAAATTTCCCATAAAGTAGACCACCGGAACCAATGATTGTGAGACGGGTAAAGGAAACATAAAATATCTCTATCACAAGCGGCGCACGCTTCCAGCCAACAGTATTGAAATTGTACGCCACTTTTCGACCCCCGAATGAACTCGTAAATCTACAGTATTTCAGTGAACTCACCAGGTTGGGTCCTCCGTGACGCTGATAAACCTCCACATATGTCTCTCCCTGTCAATATAAATCCATCAATATATCCATGAAATGCAAGTATAAATCAGGCAATAGAACTCTATTTGAGAAGACACTGACCGAGCCATATGGCCAGTAAGATCCATAATACCGGTAGGTTCCATCGGACCACAGAAAGGAAGATAACAACTCGAGAACAAATAAACTGTATCTTGCGACCATGATCTTCGCGGTTGCATAAAAGGCAAAAATGTATCAATAGTACCCTAACTGTCTGGTAAGCACGCGCGAGAATTTGTAAGTAATCAGAATATACTATGACTGCCCAAAGCGCGATAACTTTGCTCGTCTGGCAATCCAAACTCACACAACTAGGCGGCCGACGATCAGGAAGCTGCTCGTCTCAGTGTCAATGTCACTAGCCAGCTAGAAAAACCGGCTAGCTGTTTAAACCCCCCATTCTTGCAAATCGGACAACCCTCAACTTCTCGCCAAAGTGACGTTTGCCGAGCTTTGAGATTTCACGGTCTTCGGTGGTAGCCTGGAGCGAGATGAGAATATTATGTGGTATATCCTAACAGTCTGCCACACGCAGCAACTAAAGAACCTGCTGCTTGTCGCTCGATTCCATCAGTAACCGCAGTAGATCATCATAAGTGTCTCGCAGAGTTTTACTATTCAAAGAATTAGGCGGAATAATGGAATCTACTTCCGCCTGAGCAAGCACGAAAAGGAGATTACAAAAGGCAAGAATAACATAAGTTAGCTTTACACGATACATCACCTTCTCGTTGACAAGATAACCCTCCTACACGAGCCGTCGATAGGTTCTCTGTGCAGTGACGTTTCCGTATGTGTACGTCTGAAACAAAGGGAAAATGTTGGTATTTTCCCTGTTCAGCCTTAGCTTTGGAGCCAGTGGTCGCCAGGAAGTGACTTACCGATGTATATCCCTCTTGAGTGAAGTCTCGTGTGACAGCGAACTCACCCCACGATGGCGTACTCTTGAGTGTGGCCGCCGTGCGTTTCTCCACGAACACTGTGCGCAACTGTGTACGATCACCCTCGTACGCCAGGTAAGTATATTCCATCACCCATCTGCCTTTGACTTGTTGCTGATATCGTTCACCGAGGGTGAAAGGAACTTCGTGAAAGGTAGTGTTAACGTTGGCTGGATAAGAGAACTTTTGGAAATAAGTGCCGTTGTTCTCGTAGTACTCCATGATGGTCTTGGTCAGCAGCTCGGGGAAATCTAACAAAGGAGAATGCAACAATATTGTAAGGAGATAATTATTAAGCTGGAAAAAAACACAAAAAAGGCCATACATATCCCGAGCGCGAAATTCGAAAAGTCCTTCGAATTCATGACACTCTCATATTTGCCGTAGATGATCAGGGGAAGCTGTCGCCGGAAGAATCGTTTGGCGGTCATCGGACCCGTTGTGGTCTCTCGCCGGTAACCCTGCGAAAAAGGTGTTTCGTCCAGTCTCACATAATATATTCAACGGACAAGTACAGTTTTGGTGGGCCCCGTGTGAGGAACTTACCACCATTACGCCTCTTCCATCAAAGGTGTAGTTTGAGGTGAACGAATTCTCGTTGGCCAGATTCTGGTATTCACCAAACAAGACAGGCTTCTCGCCTCCCTCGTAATAGAAAGATATCTGAAAGGAAGACTGCAGATCACAGAGCTTTGCAGATGTGAAATTGCGACCGCCTACCTTGTAAGGTTGTGATGCTATAGTCATTTCAGTTGAGGCGTCACCGAAATCGGCAAGCTGGAACGGAACGACCATGGACTCGTCCGATCCGAAGGCGTTCTTCACCTGCAGTTCGTAGCTGCTGTTTTGAGGGTTCTTGCGGAAAGTTAGAGCGGTAGAAGCGTCCATTTTGACACCGGGTCCGTCTAGGACATGGAGCATACATCTTTTTGGTGGAACTCATTTGGCAAAGAACATCGAAGCGACAATGAGCTTACGATAGACGGAGTTGAATGCGCCAAAATTTTGGTCTTCCTGCGACGATGCAACGAAGGTCCCGAAAAAATGCAGAGGAAGAGCTCGACGATACTTTCGAGTTGCTTCCACACTTCCTATTCGATAAGTCTACAAAAAAAATCCATAAGCTGCAATGCCAGAAGAATGGGCGGAGGTAGTCTTACCGCGTTTATCCCCTGTCGGTCGATCACAGCAGTCCACAACCATCTGTCTCCAGTTGCAGGGGAAAACTGTCCTCGTACGATGGTGGTGTTGATACTTTCTCCCTTTTCCACATCGACCACATACTGAAAGGACAAGGGCCATTGTCGTCGGAAAAATGACAAGTGGTTGCGGCGGAAAAATTACCTCCACTTGCTGGCTGTTAATGGTCCGGCGCTGCACTTCACCAACAATGAAAGGATACTCAATCTGGACAGTCTCGGGATCCAGAAGGTATTTCAAAATGTAATATTTTCCTGACTGGCCCAGGTACACCTTGTTATTGCCGGAGGAACTTCCGCCTATCGGAGTGACTGCAAATATTTGGATTTTTTTCCAGAAAACTGCACGACAGGGGTAAGAACTCGATAATTAAAAACAGTTAACTTACGAAGTTTTAAGCCAATCTGCTTGAAGTTGCTGGACTGCTTGGATTGCTCATTTTCATAGTATCCTAACGCAGTCTTCGGGATCAGGCGTCTGTAAGATCGGCGAGCCATGATGTTATCCAGCACGTCACTATGCGTATAGGTCTGAAATGAACAGAATGAAGGGTGAACTAACCGGACAATAATAATGAAATATGCTGTACGTACTACAGTCATTCCGCCTTTTGAGAATACTGCCTCGACCGTAAAGGACATCCACCCATCCCGTTCTGCATACCGCGCAAAGATCGTGGCCTTGTTGGGATCGTTCGGCGTAATTTCCAGATAGTAGGTGTACTAAAGAGGAAAAGCCTGGCTCGTTAATTAAGAAAAAAGATGGAGTACACGTGTACTGCAAGAACTGAATTTTTCGTGAATGGGAATGCAGTAGTTCATACATCAATGATCTTGTCCTGTGCGTGTAAAGTTCGTAGTTCGCCGAACCCGAACGGGAAGGTCAAAACAAAGGTGGTGTTTTCAAAGACGAACTGATGGTAGTAAGACCCATTGTTCTTGAAGAAGCGGACGACATTTCTGTCGGAGAGGCCTGTCGGCAAACCTACAAAACGGCAATCAAAATTTACGAAACTGTAATTGCATTTGCAAAATGGCTTTAACAGCACTCACAAACACAAGACTTACGAAGGGCCTTTCCGAACTCTGCAATATTGCCCCGACCACCTGTAAAACCAACCCTCATTTTGCACTCGTGATTACAGTTTCGCACAGTTACATATTCAGATGAACAGGAAAAATCTCAGAATACCTGGCAAACTTTCAAAATCCCCCATGATGATGGACGGAATGGTACCCGGTTCCGCCGCGAAAACGGAGGCAACTGCAGAGATAGTAAGTTCGATCCATGTATACATTCGACCGCGGTACAATATAGAAAGCGACTTGATCTCACCTACTAGGACGAAGCTTCCGGTCCATAATAAGATCTCATGGTACTCCATGGTTTCCTACCTGCTGTCCAGAAGCTGAATCTATGGCTTAAATGCACAAATTTGTAATTCTGAAAGCGGAATCATATACACTGTCGTCTGAAATTGAAATTGAGTGCATCTCGTTGGTTTAGCATGGAGTACGAGAGACACTATCGCGTTAGACAACTGATGCCTATCTGGTGGTCAAAAGTCAAGTGGAGATAGGCAGCTACAGTATAGGGATCCCTTTCACTTGCTGTGACGTGAAACGCTAGATAAGAATACGAATAAAAGGCGAATAGCACTATAAAGGACAGAGTGGAAAGTCTCAATATGGCTGCATCTCCGAAGGCTGATGGTCAAACCAGGAAGTCTCCATCTTTGAAGCAGCTGTAGCTAGAAACCTGCCGGAAAGGGTTGCGGACCGGGTTCCAAGTAAGTTTAATTTAGTTGTTTATGTGGAAAGAATTCTGTGTTTTAAGGTAAATTCGGAACATGTACGAAATTTGATTACTATACACGCAGGCTCCAAATGCTCCAACTGTTTCTTTGTGTGCGGATGACCGCGCACGACCGTGAGCAACTAAGACTTAAGCATAGAAGGCGCAGTCCAACGTGTCAGATACGGTCACGCCTTCCGAGTAATTCCTGGCACGCGAATGAGAGGTGTCCTTCTAAAACCTCTCTGGGCTTCACAGCCCGGTACCTGAAGCAGAAAGCGCTACGGTCCAAACCAAGGATATTGCCGTCCTCCCAGCAACTAAACGTACTTTCCTAACTGGGTCCTCCAAGTCGCCGCACATTCCAATCGCTGAGCGTGGCCCTCTCGAGCTGCATCCTGAACTGTTTTCAGAACGTCCCCTTCAAGCCACCAAGCGATTTCCCCAGCCATTGTAGCTGCTATTTTCCATAAGGCCAAACGTGATCCATCCCATCCAGCCCATAAAAGAAACTTAGATACGATGCTAAGCGAATTTTTCCATCAAACCGGTTTATTCCCAAAGGCGTACAACAGGTCAATCTGTGTCACCTCTTGATTTAAAAGTTTTATACCGTTATGTAATGGGTGGAGGGCCGTGGAGCCGGTGGAGGTTGCAAAGTGGTGAAGGCGTTTGGGTGCTAATCGAATGTGTTCTCCCGTATGAGTTCGAATCTCATCCTTCACGAACGTCGACTCTTTTTTCAAGATTCGACAGAAATAATATTGCATTGGGTTTCTAAATTCCAAAAACTGGAAAAGTACCGATATGTAGCAAAAGCAAAACTGCTCACGCTGTTTTGTTCTCTGTTGTCTTTGCTGGGCAAGGGCAACGGATCGACGAACTGTCCGACGAACATTAGAAATTTTCTCGCTAGAGAATCCCTTCTTCAACGAACCCGATCTTGACCTACTGTAGTCTCTCCGCAAGCATTATTCGAACTATTTTAGTCGTACCAACACACACCTATCCACAAAATGGTTATTCGAGCTCGATAGAGTGGTTGGACTTTACACACTCACATACGAGGAAGAATTCAAGAACAGCTTTTCGGATTAAGACAAGCAGAAAATTTCAGTCAGCTGAAATAGAATGAGAGTATTTACAAATTGCAACAGCTACCTTTCAGGTATCTTCGTCGGGTCAGTCGATACGCTTCCTGTTGGGTAGGGCCTTCATCCATGTCTTGCTCAAACCGTGCATGTCGATGAGGATTCCTTTCCGTGCGAATTCGTCCAGTCTTTTGGAGTTTTCTTCCAACTGACTCTGAAAAGCGAAAAGTTTGACCAGTCCATCTAATGGTGGGGTGGAAATAACAAAAAAACAATGGCGGAAGAAGAGAGCGCTTACCTTTGCGGGTGCCTTCAACAGCATTATCTTTTTCGTCTTCGGATCCGTCTTGATGAGGTCCAGTCGGACAAACGTGTCTTCGATATCTTCCTTCGTCATTCCCAGTTCGCTAATCATGGCGTCCATCAGCTCGCTGAACTGGTTGGTGTTCTCCCATTTCTTCAGCAGGGCTCTCGAAACCACGCACTTCCAGTACGACGCGAACGCCAAGAGACCAGGTCGCGACAGAGGGCGCTCTGGTGTACCCGGCTTATGCGTCGTTCTCGCTATGATATAACCTGCAAAAAAACCCGACCGATACAATGCAAAAATTTTGCGATCGCCAAAGCAGTTTACGCAAAGTGGACGATTTCCATCACAGTACAGCATACAGCAGTCATCCAAATCTAACATCACATGGGAGATCGGCCAACACAGCTGAAGAGATCGTTCCTCCAAGTGGCGCACGCTGTCAGTGTTATTGGCTGAAAGCGTGCGCCACCTGGAAAGACGGTCTTGTCGATCTAGTTTGCGGAGGTTTCACATAGCTTACTGAGGTCAATTAGGATTTTCCCAAAGCCGCGTTTTTCGAACTGCGGAAGAACAAGAATACAGGCCAGCGTGTTCTTTTCCAGGTCTTTGTCCTTGGAGAAGTAGCCGACAGGTCGATAAAGACCGTCTTCGCCTCGCTGGGAGAGTACATAGTACATCATGTAGATAACGTCGTAGGTGACCGCTTTGGTCGACAGGAAGAAACGGGACAAGATCGACAGGTTCTGGCAGAACTCCTGAAATGGAAAGAATACAACAAAGTTTATTCTCGTCAAACTTCGGTACAGACTCAACTGCGAGATTCCAACCGCTTCATACCCTGTGGATTTTCCCATCTATTTCGTAGATGGCGATGTCGTTCTTGGTGTAGATGTTACTTCCGGGCGGGCAAATCTTTGAGCAGCCAGTAACATGACGGAGGAACTGAGTCTTGTCGTACAACATTTCCAGACAGACATCGCAGAAGAAGACTTGCTTATGAAGCGGCTCGTCTCGGCCAGTCGCCGACATCTCGCTAGACAAGAAAGCAAACACTGTGTTGATACTCGGAACACTTTGGTAACACCAATGACAGATTTACTCACTTCACTTCGATTAAGTATTTCCCAATCTGAATCTTCTCTATAAAGCTTTTCTTCCTGTCCGTCGGATCCAACTGAGACTACAACAAACGAAAAGGTGGGTTAACCTCGCGAAGTTACGAATGTTGCACGTGTCTTTTTTTTCATCATGAACCTACATTCTGAATAGCGTTGCTGACTTTCCCCATTTCGAACATCATTTTGGCGAAGACCGAGATGCCTTTTATCTCAGGGGCCACGAAGACGTCAGTCGGCTTTACTGGCTTCACGGGTTTGTCCTGGATGTTCATTCGTTCGTCCGCCAGTCCACTTAACATCTCCGCCTACAAATAACGAGGTTTCCAGTAAACAATAGTATCCGAAAGTTATCAGCGTGCGTGGCATACTGCTTCTCTCAGCTTCTTCGGGTACGTCTTTCTAGGATTAGTTTCAGCGAGTTTAGCTTGGAGAGCTGTATAGGTTGCAGATGTTTCTGCCGATATCCGGTTGTATTTTGGACAGGTATCCAATGAGAAATGTTTCTCACTTCGTCCGTTCAGATGTCCTACACAAATACAGTTCCATAAAAACGGCCACTCGTTTATCGTTATCGTTCATATAGTATCTGGTTGGTGATGTCCGGAAACAAACTAAGTGAAATCGTTATAGTTACCAGAGCCATCGCAGTTCGTGGCGGCGCAGCAATGCGGAAAAGGAAGGGTATGCGCGTCTGTGTCTTCGGCAGAAGATGAGTCTCGTTCCGCTTCCAGACTGCGCGAATGGCGTTGGCGTGGGTTAGGTTTCCGTTTGGGTTTGACAGGGCTCTTGACGAGAAGTTTTTTGTTCTGACCACCGAGAATCTTTGTCCGCCGGAAACCTCGTGTGGTGTGTTTTGCGTCGATGCAGTCCTTGCACAAAAATGGAGTCTCATCTAAACAAGAGTGGAAAAACTTATCATTCCGCGTTCACTGTATATGCAGTATGCAATATACAGGATAACGATACAGAGTTTAGCGTCTTACCGTCAAGGTTGACATCGAGCAAAGGCGGGTCTAGGCATCGACCATGGCATCCACGATCACACCCATCGCAAAACATCATGCCAGTCTACAAATAGTGAGAGGGTGGGTAAAGCAGTACAATATAGTCCGCGGCGGAAGTCAACATACGGCGTCTGCTTTGCGGCAGATAAGACATCGGCGACATGACGAGCACTCCCAATTGTAGTTCGTGATCCGGCTACATTTCGGAGGAATTTCTGCACAACTAGAGTGATCTGTAAAATAAGCATCGCTCTTTCAGATTTGCTGTGGTACTGTGGCAAGACCTGTCGAGATGAATGAGGGATCAGAGCGATTACTCACAGACGTCCGAACAGAAGGTGCATCGTACCCACGGGGGAAATCCTCCTCGTCGCTTACGCGGTACTTCCGACACGTCAATGTCCTCACCGCACTGTTCACATTGTACAGTTTCGCTGTCCGAATCCATTGAGAGATCCGTCCGAGACCTGGAAGGACGAACAATCGGTCCTACCAGGCGGAAGAACGAAGAAGTAGACAAATTGCGAGAGCGTCACGCGTCTTTCTGGCTTCCGGTGACGCTGTTGAATGAATCATAGACCGGTTGAGTCAGCGGTAGAAATCTGTTCAGTATTCAATAGCCCTTAACTCCGCTCAAACTATAGCAAGCCTGAGCCTACCGCGGAAAGATCAAAGAATGGGACTGCGGGTTCATTCACATCTGACGTAATAGAGAGCGTCTTTCACTCAAATAATCAACTCAAGTAAACTGTGGACTCCGCCCAGACCGCTTGCTACGCCCGCTGACCAATAGACAGCAAGGAAGGGCCATTGAACCAGCTGCGATTGGGCACCCAGCCTACCATTGCCAGTGGCTAGGTGTCGGTGGTCAGCCTAGCAAGAGGTGTCGGTGGTCAGCCCCAGTGGTCAACCTACCTATCTACCTACTGGGCAGCACGAGTTACGTCATACCCTGTCGGTCGTACATCACACCCTGCCCGCATTCGATCGTACATCATACCCTGTCGCACGGACATAAAGCCCTGTCGATAGTGCGGTAAGGTTCGTGCCACTATCCATTTGTCCGATCAGCAGGGTGCTGAGACGGATCAATTGTGTTTTAATCAACTGGCCGTTTACTCCAGTTGATTTGTACCGAATTGATTGATGGGGCACCAATTCATGATACAGCAAAAACTTGGTAAAGCTATAAAAACTCCAAAAAGATCCAGAAAATTTCAGAAAATCCAGAATTATCCCATGATAATTCTTGCTTCTAGACGCTCGAGCACTGCCTGAGAAGGGACGACGAAGACTCTCCGAAGGATTTTAGTCACAAAATCGTTAACAAAGAATTTTGGATCAAGCATTTTCATTTCTAACATTGCGATAACGAAGCGTTTACACTGGCCGCTGGAATTGATCGACCGATCAGCTTGCGGTGGAACAAAATTCAAACAATCAATCCTTCGGTTTAGCAGGAACGTGACCGAGCGTTCAAGTCTTAGACACAAACTGGCACAGCAGTCGAATTATGGCAAAGCCCAGATTGTTATCTGAAGTCCGTAACTGAGTTTTCTCGCGAAAATCGTCAAATTGACATCGGACGGTCCCTCGCGGCCGACATCCCAATTCCCAAGTGACGGATGGCGGGAATGGCGGGGATGGCGGGGATGGTGGGGATGGCGGGGATGGCGGGGATGGCGGGGATGGCGGTGAAAGTGGACGGCAAGGGACCAGCGTCGACAGGTCTGAAGGATCCGTTACAGTTCCCCTACATCGTCGTCGGTCGATCTGCAGACAGGAGAGAACAGCTAGAGTGCCAGATAGCCTTCTTCAAACGTACTTACAGATATAAGGACTACACGGCACATCCGGATAAAGTACACTGCATGTCATGGAACGTGGATGGCTCTTTACTAGTAGGTTTGAAAGCTCGCCTGGATTTCAATTAAGACTTCCCGATAGTTCGCTTAACGCTCGATCGTACTTTACTCATACTCATACTTCAAGGCAACGGGATCATACGATAAGAGCGTCATCTTGTTCGCGTACAAGGACGGCAAGCTATTTCGAGATTATTCCTTAAAGGAACATAACCATAGGTAAGCAGGAGAACATCAGCGAAAGTATCGGTCCATGAATTTTAACCAAATTTTCGTCATAATTTTTGTACATAGTATCTTCCATTGCTTTTTTCCTCGTAGTATCGACCAGCTGGCCT